AGGGTTTCTGTTTAGGACTAGCCCACTGACACAGAGGCTGTATTCAGTACTCAATTCTATGCTAATACTGACTACGCACTAAATAACTCAAAAATAACTGCATGACCAAATGACAAATACTATTCATTTAATACTGTTTTAGCCTGCATAGGTGATTGATTTTTATTAGTTTTATATTTTTGACAGACCAACATTTTAATATTATTTTAAAAGGATTTTAATATTATTTTAATTTTATTTTAATATTATTCATCTAATAATACAAATATTATTCATTAATCATGAAGTATATTATATTTGGCTATAAATAAATTCAGTGGCCTATTTTAAATGTAACAGACCTTCATAAAAATATCTTAACCTGCCCTTTAGAAATATATATGAATAGCATTATGACAGCTATCCAATTGGGAGAAAATCAGGACTTAAAATCAGGACTACTTGATATGAAAAATAAAGACTACAATGTTGCCCACCTTCAAATCAAGAAGGCCTAGTTGAAACTGGTGGTGGTGGGGGGTTGGGGGGAGGGTACTTTCTGTTTGTTTAAGATTTCCAGGGAAACCTCGATTTTTTTTTTTAATAAAAAGGAGCAGCAAGCCAAATACATTTGGAAACCACTGGTGTAAAAAAAAAAATTAGCTTAGGAAAGTCTTAAGACAAATCGTTGGGTCATAATGTTCCCTTTATTTAACATTTCATCTTACTGCCCAGTCAAAAAAAAATTTTTTTAAAGAGTAGGGTTCTTTACTAGTGCATATATCATGATTGATAAGAAGTATGTACACTATCCATTAAGGGTTTTTATTATTGATTAAAAGCAAGGCATTCCTTCAGTGTTGGTCTATCAAAAATATAAAACAAAATAGTAATAAAAATCAATCACCTATGCAGGCTAAAACATAAAGTACAACACAATACTTCCTTAAGAGATGTAACAGATCTGCACAAACATATGCAGACATTATAATAACACAAGTCTCTAAAAGAACTTACATGACCTCTTGACAGTGGTCATGTAAGTTCATGACTTACACGTGGGAGGCTCTGAGTTTAATATATGGTCCTAAACAAATTGTTACCCTACACTAAGCTTGGGTATATTTTTAATAAAACATGCTTTGATTCCCAAATCATCTTACTGACTCAATAGAAGCAGAGAAGAATCATGCTATATTTCATCATCCTCATTAACAAAGACTCGTAGGGTCAAGAGTAACATGTTCTTTTGGGAGGGGAGGAGAGAGGATCTACCAAGCAGTGCCCATGAAGCACAGGGATCCTACTTGTGATTTTCGCAAAACAGGTGAGCAGTTCAGCCAAAGGGCCTGAGGACGTGATGCTGCTTGGGCCCTGCTGTGCCAGGGATTCCTGGGCCACTCCAGTGGTGCTGAGTGCCTCTAGAGACACCCCTGGAGATGCAAGGGGGACGATATTGTGCAGAGAACTGAACCCAGGTCAAGCACATGGTGGGCATGTGCCCTAACCACTATCCACCCTGACGCCAAATATAACACTTTGAAAAGAGAAAAGAAAAAATGTTTTTCAAAATAATGAATGAATCCTACTACATACAAAGAAAAAAAGAAATAATAGAGTCCACACTTACAATTTCGTATTTTAAAAAATAACATTTAATACATGCAACTATTAAATACAATAGAGTAGTCAGGAGTCTTGAGTTATATATCAGCCATTGATTAATAGAAACTTTAACATATCATTTACTCTGGCTTTTGTTATTTAGGAAAGGATTATCAAGCCAGTTTCAATAGTGAAAAATGTAACAAGAAAGCCTGAAGCCTGAGTTGGTTAAAAGTCCTAGGCTAACTCAAGCCATATACAACATTATTTTAAAATGGATTAAAGAAATTAAAATTAGATCTGAATCTTTAAAATATGCTGGAAAAGCACAGGTAGAAGTCTATAACATTGACCTCAGAAGAGTCTTCAATGATTTTATTCCACCTCACTGGGAAAGGACACAAGAGCAAAAGTAGCAGCATCAAATTAAAAAGGTTCTTCAAGGCAAAAAAAAAAAAAAAAAAAAGAGGGCCAAAAACAGCTCCCTATGAAATGGGAGAAAAAATATGCACACCATACATATCATAGAATAAATCACAAATTTTAACAATAAAAACAAGTAACCCCATTAAAAAGTGAGTAGAGAAGAAGCAGTTTTGCAGTGAAGAAAGAAATGGTCAGTAAACATACAAAACAGTGTTCATCATTATCAGGGAAATGCAAATCAAAACAACAATGAACAATGGCATATCACCTCACACCACTGAAAATGGCATTTATCCAGAAAAAAAAGGTGGGGGGAGAAGGAAATAATCAGTGTCGGTGAGGATTCAGTAAGAAAAAAAACTTCTCACTCACTGTTACTAGAAATGTCATGTTCAGTTTTCATGAAGAACAGCATGGACTTTTTTAAAATATAAAGAATAGAATTCCCAGGGCTGGAACCATAGCACAGCGGGTAAGGCCTTACAAGTGGCCAACACGGCCAACCCGAGTTCAATTCCTCCGCCCCTCTCAGAGAGACCGGCAAGCTACCGAGAGTATCTCGCCGGCACGGTGAAGCCTGGCAAGCTCCTGTGGTGTATTCGATATGCCAAACACAGTAACAATTGTCACAATGGAAACGTTACTGGGCCCACTCGAGCAAATCGATGAACAACGGGAGGAAAGTGAGAGTCACAGAATTCTCAGAAGACCCAGTGATTCCACTTTTTGGCATCTACCCCCAAAATACAAAAAACATTAGTTGAAAAGATATACACTCCTATGCTCATTACAGCACTATTTATAATAGTCAAGACCTAAAAACAATACGAATTCCCAGCAACAAATGAGTGGATAAAGAAACTGAGGTATATATACATCATGGTATGCTACTCATCTATAAATCTAGCCTTTAGCTACAAATTGCAAGAAACTATACAATGTCATGTTATGCGATATTAAGTCAGAGGGAAAAAAAAATATTAAATGACCTCACTCATGTATACATAAAGAAAATGAAGCTAGAAAACGGACAATATTGATGAAAACAAACTCTTGGACTTCGACAATGAAACTGAGGTTGCCATTTGTGGGGGGAGGAAAAGCTGGAGGAAGAGGACAGATGGTACACCAGAGTGATGGAGAGTTTTTGGCACTTTGGTGGCAGTAGAGGTGCACAAACATTGTACTGTAAAACAATTAATACTATCACAACCATGTTACCTTAATAACAAAATATTTTTACTAGCTGAAACTAAAAATAAATGTTCTGGGCTAGGATATCCAGAATTATAGTTGAAATAACTCAGAAATATATTAAGAATTATCTTCAGGTGATCCCTGGTTACTTAATTTTGACCGGTAAACAGCATGAATAAAACTTCCCAGAGTAAAAGTTGAGGGACTCAGAGACTATAGATTCCCAATATGACTGCAAAATGGAATTTTTCACATAGTGAAATCATCAATTTATTTGTGGTAGCTTTGTCAGATGGTACAAATTTCATGGTCAGAAAAGTAAAGATACCCTGGGAAGCCCAGACCTTCATCCAGATGGGAGAGGAACAGTTATATTTTTTTTTGTAATTGTCTTCCCATATAAGCTTCCATATTCTTTCGTTTTACTTTTATTTTCATGGACTGACCACTGGTTTACATTCTAAGGAATCTGGGAGGGTTTCATACCACTTAATGTAATTTCTACCACCAAAGTACTAAAGCGTGGTGGTTACATACCTGTTTATGTAATTCCCACCTTTTATCAGTCTTGGATAATAAATATTATATCTATCTTTTTTTAAAAATATATATTATTCAACAACTACTTTTACCTTCCTAACCAATACCCTGATTCCTCCAATTAAGAACTTGTCAATACTCTGAATCTTACAGAACTGACTCAACTTTATATCAGATCACCAGTTCCTTTAACAAAAAACTGTTAGTGTAAGAAACATTATTAATCTCTTTACTTCCTTCCCCAATTTATCACATTCATTTTGATTCTAATAACTGAGACAAGAAAGGCTTGGTAAACTTTCTTTGAATACATCATTAGCATTATATTTCACAGAGAGCACACAAAAATATTCTATGAAAAGAAGTATTTTATAAACTATAAATGCTGATAGATTAAGATGCTGTTAAAGTTCTCACTTAAAGGTGTTGATTAAACATTGTACTTCCCTGCTCATTTGTATGCTAGTATTCCAGTGCTAAAAGAGACAAGGCAAGGTATTTGGTATTCTCTTAAAAAAAAAAATTATTTCTTGGATAAGAGAGGGTAATGATGACCACTGGTTCAGGCACATGCTGAACTAAATTCTGAAAAACTCAGTTATGGCCTGTGTACTTAGCACTAAATACTTTGTTTTGAGATATTTAGGGGAAATAATAAAGAACTTCTGAGTCCATGTTTACTTTCTATTGAGAAGATTGATCCTAAATTTCACCTGCAATAAAACTTCTATCACTTCTATCTTAATACATATATATACTTCCTAACAGATTCCACATTAATTTAAAGTTATATCTTAAAAGCTTGAGCAACAGAAAATAATATGCTATCTCATATTTTTAACTTGAATGTCATCTGCTGCAAAGGAGGGAAGACTGCTTTGCTTTTTGTACCTTGTTTCTTTTAGAGCACAGGAAATACTACTTTGAAATGTATGCAATGAGAGAATACTGCACAATCAAAATAAGCTGCAGTGTACAGAATGAAAAACTATTAAATGCACATTAATATAGTCATATATTTATACATTTTGTATTTACATATTGATTTAATTAATTACATATTTATACCTTTAGGCACACAAGAGAAGCTTTAGAAAGCACATAAACATCTCAAAGACAGAAAGAACTTACCTGAAAAAAAATCGTCACATAAAATTCAGAATTGTAATATTACAGACTAGTATAAAAAAGAGTGAAATAAACACTGAAATAGAAAAAGGAAAGAAAAAAGATTTAGCATACGTATTACTTACAGAAATTCTTCTCCAGGGTGTTTGAGTATATTTATCGACATATGCGCATTTTTCCTCTTGAGAATTTTGATGACAGTTACACCGAGTAGCCTGAACAGACACAAATTCTCACTGGTATAACTCTACCAAGACAAATATCTATACAAGGTAAATATGGCTTCTGTTATTAAGTATAAATAAAATACAATATACAATCTTTTATCTCCTTGGTGCTTGTCTTTTATTTGCCATCATATTGAGAGTGGTTTCTAGAGTTCAGGAGTAAAGCAAAAATTTTACATGATCAAAATTACCCTGAAATTTTCTTATACTCTCCATGAACATACCCCCTACAATTTCGTGTATATAGTGACAGAATACATGTAGAATATAACACAAAAAAGTACAACAGCAAAATTTTAAGTGTACCCCTACACTATCATGGTACTATAGTTCTAGCCTACAATGTGTTAATTTGCTTTTATGGGATTCTACTTGATGTCAAATATCTCTAATCAACAAGGTCCTCTTTGGCCAAAGACATAGCCCTGACATTAAGGCACTTTCGTTACATACAGTCAACCTCAATTCGATTCCTGGCACTAAATATGGTCAACTAAACACTTCCAGGAGTGAACCCTCAGCACAGTTGATAGGAATAACCCTGAGCTCAGCAGGTGTGCCCACCCCCAGCACAAAAAAGGACAAATGGAAGGAAGGAAAGAATGAAGGGAGGGAGGGAGGGAAGGAGATTGTCTCTGTGTGAAGCACTAACTTTTAAGCCTCTTCAATGATGTGTTAACATCACTGAATATTTTAAAGGATCTTTGTCCTTTGATAAGATCTTTCTGACCAAGTCATTCACTAATGAGTTCTCTACACAGTTCCACTGAAAAGCCCCCCCCCCTCCCGTTGATCGTCGATTTGCTCGAGCGGGCCCAGTAACGTCTCCATTGGAGACTTTGTTGTTGCTGTGTCTGGCATATCGAATACTCTCGGTAGCTTGCCGGGCTCTCCGAGAGGGGCGGAGGAATCGAACTCGGGTCGGCCATGTTGGCCGCTTGTAAGGCGAACGCCCTACCCGCTGTGCAATTATTTTATATATTATATGAACTTTGTGGACCAGAGGGATAGTACAGGAGGTAAGATGCTTGTTTGCATGAAGTCAATCCCAATTTGATCTCCTGCATCTAATATGGCTGTCCAGTCACTGCCAGCCGTGATCCATGAGCAAATAACCAGGAGTAAGTTCTGCTGAGCACAGCCAGGTATGGTCAAAAAGTGTGTGTGTATTGTGCCCCCAAAAATCAAGTACCTAGGAATCAGCTTAACTAAGGAAGTAAAGGACCCGTACAAAGAAAACTACAAAACGCTACTTCAGGAAATAAAAGAGGACATGAGGAAATGGAAAGATATCCCCTGCTCATGGGTCGGGAGACTTAACATTGTTAAAATGGCAATACTACCGAAAGCATTGTATAAATTCAATGCAATCCCTATAAGGATACCCATGACATTCTTCAAAGAAATGGAGCAAACACTCCTGAAATTTATATGGAACAATAAGCCCCCACAAATAGCTAAAGCAATTCTTGGGAAAAAGAAAATGGGAGGAATCAACCTCCCGAACTTCAAACTGTACTACAAAGTAGTAATAATTAAAACAGCATGGTACTGGAACAAAGGCAGAACTGCAGACCAGTGGAACAGGGTTGAATACACTGACATCTCCCCTCAATCATATGATCATCTAATCTTTGATAAAGGTGCAAGTAATGTGAAGTGGAGTAAGGAAAGCCTCTTTAACAAAGTGTGCTGGCATCACTGGATGGCTACATGCAAAAAAATGGGCTCAGAACTCTGCCTAACACCATGTACAAAAGTAAGATCAAAATGAATTAAAGACCTCAACATCAGATCAGAAACCATAAGGTACATTGAAGACAAAGTTGGCAAAACCCTCCATGACATTGAAGCTAATGGTATCTTCAAAGACGCCACGCCACTGGCCGAGCAAGTGAAAACAGAGATAGATAAATGGGGCTATCTTAAACTACGAAGCTTCTGCACCTCAAAAGAAACAGTGACCAAAATACAAAGACAGTCTACAGAATGGGAAAGGATATTCGCCGAATACACATCTGACAAGGGGTTGATATCCAGGATATACAAAATACTGGTTAAAATCCACAAGAAGAAAACATCCAACCCCATCCAAAAATGGGGCAATGAAATGAACAGAAACTTTCTCAAAAAAGAAATCCGAATGGCAAAAAAGCACATGAGAAAATGCTCTACATCATTAATCATTAGGGAGATGCAGATCAAAACCACAATGAGATACCATCTCACACCTCAGAGACTGGCCCACATTCAAAAGAACAAAAGCAACCCATGCTGGCGCGGATGTGGCGAGAAAGGGACACTCCTTCACTGTTGGTGGGAATGTCGACTGGTTCAGCCCTTCTGGAAAACAGTATGGACGATTCTCAAAAAATTAGAAATTGAGCTCCCATTTGACCCAGCGATACCACTGCTGGGAATATATCCGAGAGAGGCAAAAATGTATAGTCGAAGTGACATCTGCACTTGTTTGTTCATTGCAGCACTCTTTACAATAGCCAGAAACTGGAAGAAACCTGAATGCCCAAGAACAGATGACTGGTTAAAGAAACTTTGGTACATCTACACAATGGAGTACTATGTAGCTCTTAGAAAAGATGAAGTCATGAAATTTACATACAAGTGGTACAACATGGAAAGTATCATGCTAAGCGAAATGAGTCAGAAAGAGAGGGATAGACATAGAAAGATTGCATTCATCTGGGGGATATAAAGTAACAAAATATGAGATTAATACCCAAGGATAGCTGAGATCAGCACCAGGAGCATTACTCCATAACTTAGAGGCCAGCCGGGCATTCTAGGGAAAAGGGCAGCTCAGATAGAGAAGGGAGCACCAAATAAAGGGTGTTTGGAGAATTCTCCCAGGAGGGGAGATGCATGTCGAAAGTAGACTATGGACTGAACATGTTTGCCACTCAATGCCTCTTTTGCAGACCACAACACCCAAAACGAGAGAGAGAACACAGGGGATTGCCCTGCCACAGAGGCAGGGGGGGACTGGGGGATGGGGGTGGAGGGGATATTATCCATGGTGGTGGAAAATGGGCACTGGTGGAGGGATGGGTATCTGATCATTGTATAATCGAAACCCAAGCACAAAAAACAGTAAATCTACAACTGTACCTCGTGGTGCTTCACTAATAAAAAAAATAAAAAGTGTGTGTGTGTGGGGAATATATATCTATATCTGTGTGTGTGTGTGTGTATATACATATATGGTAACCATGTGAAATTTAGTATTTTAAATAAACATTAAATTTTAATAAATAAAATTAGTAATAATAAATATCAAGTTAAAATTTAATGTTTTTAGAATCATATTTTCAACAAATCTATGGAAAGTAAGTATATTTCCCTGTGGGAGAGTCTATTTAACAATTCTTATTTACGGGGCCGAAGGGACAGTACAGTGGGTACAGTGTTTACTTTGCAAGCGGCCGACCCGCATTTGACCCCAGGATCCTATATGGTCATCCCCCCCAAGCACCACCAGAATTCATTCCTGAGTGCTGAACCAGTATCGCTGGATGCGACCCAAAAAGTAAAAACAAACATTTGTATTTATTGCCTCAACTTGAAACTGAAATTTTCTACTTTAAAAGTATCTATCATTATTTGTGTTCTCAATTCCATCAGGATCATTGCTATTTCTAGATTCAAAGTAAAATCTAATCAAAACCAAAAACCTCTATGCAAACAAGTGCTTCCCATTCCAAAGAAAAGGAAAAGTCATTAAAAAAAAATAGAAAATATAAGCAAGTATTTTAAATAAATACTAAAATTTAATGAATAAAATTAGTAATAATATCAAGTTAAAGTACAGTATTTTTTTAATCATATTTTCAACAAGTCCATGGAAAGTAAATATATTTCCCTGTGGGAGAGTCTATTTAACAATTCTGGTTTACGGGGCTAGAGGAACAGTTAGAAACTTCTAGGATTCTCTGTAACAGGACTTTATGTCAAATATGCATGGGAAGTATGTGAAACGAAAGAGAAAGAGAATATAAAACACGGCTCTTAATGATGCAAACACATTATTCTATCCTAACTATTGCAATTTGAGAAATAATTTCCTTTCTGGGGTCTATGCGCTAACACAGGAACACAGAAATATTTGGCAAAAATTGAATTTTTTATGAATCAGAAAACAAATTCTTTAGGGTAGTATAACATTAAAAGTTTATATTTATAATTGGGAAAGTCATAACTTTTTCCTGAAGTATACTAATTATATATTAACTTCTTCCATTTTGCTATATTTTAGGAAATTTTAAATCTTAATTTTCTAATGCTATCTCTTCTCCATGAAAACCATCGGGTTGGCTGGGTTTTGTTTTTAGCTTTTAAACAAACATTAGATCTTGCTGTTTTCCCTTTCAATTTATATTTAGTAGACCATCAACTTATAATATTCAATTATATTTAATTCGGTTCAGTTTTCTTTTTATCCTTGATCATACTATCTGATCTGTCTACAATTAAAGATTCATTGTATCGGGATATGGTGCCACCAGCAGGTCAATCTGTACCTATGAGGCGAGTGCATCAGCAGCCTGATGGTGCCTTCAGACTTACAGATACCCCAAAATTGCTACTGTGCCTTTGGCCAGACCCCAAAAACTTGGGGCAAAGTTTACCAAGAACGTAAACAGCCAAAAGTTAGGTATGTGGGAGACACACCCACAAACCATCTCTGGTTCAGCTATATAATTGTAGGCATGGCCTCTCTTGTTCCTGATCGAACTACTTAATGACCATGAGCCCAGAGACCCAGAAACAAATCTCAAAACCCAACGGCTTTTGGCAAAAATGCTTCCGGTCCCTGCAGTAGGTTACCGGTGCTGGGCCAACCCAGGTGGGAATAGGTTTCATGCCTTGGCCTGTTCCCCCTGGCGGCCCAATGGCCGTCATCCTCCAGAGGCCACTGGACAGTTAGGTTTGGGCCCACAGTGACGAGATACACGGGGCCTCACGGGATGGGCGTGAAGCTGGCCCTTTCTTCCCCATCCCAACGAGACCCCAAGTAGCCGCCCACAAAGAGCCTCTCTGGCTCCTGATCAAGCTGCTTAATGGCCATGATACCAGAGACTCAGAAACAAATCTCAGAACCCGGTGACTTTTGGCAGAAATGAGTCCGTAACCAAAGTAGGTGACTGTCACTGGGCCACCCCAGGGGGGAAAGGGTGCTGTCCCTCCGCCTGCTCCCCCTAGGTGGTTCGGTGGTTGCCATCCTCCAGAGGCCATTGGACAGTCAGGTTTGGGTCCTCAGTGACGAGACACGTGGGGCCTCACAGGATGGGGGTGGAGCCGGCCCTTTCCTCCCCACCCCAATGAAGACCCCAAGTCGCCGCCCATGAACGGCCTCTCTGGCTCCTGATCAAGCTACTTAACGGCCATGATCCCAGAGACTCAGGAACAAATCTCGAAACCCATCAGGTTTTGGCAGAAATCCCTCCAGATTTAAGTGTTAAAATTTCAGAATTTCAAAATCACACCGCCACTACTGCTGCCACGCGACATCATATGTTATTCATAATCAGCAATAGAAAACAAATTGTCTACTGTTGCCTTTTCAGCAGATCTGAGTGTTGGGGTAAAATCCTAAATAATAATGGTGGGTCTGGTGTCAAAAATTTGAATGCAATCAAAGTAGAGAGAGAGAGAGTAATGTGGAAATCATCTGCCCCACAGGTAGGAGGATGGTGTGGGATGGGGGTACACTGGGGCTTTTGGTGGTGGAGAATGGGCACTGGTGAAGATATAGGTGTTTCATTGTATGACTGAGACTTAAACCTGCAAGCTTTGTAACTGCTCTCTGGTGATTCAATAAATAAAATTATAAAAAATGGAAAAAAAAAGAAGTAAGGTGGAGTTCATGCCCAATTCAACCAGCTAATCAGTGGCTGAATAAATAGCAGTACTCCTACATTAAAAAAAAAAAAGTTACTTTCCTCATGATACCTCTACCCGTGTAAGTGAAATTCTCTTAATGCAAGTAAAACAGAAGATGCAAAAAATAAATAAAAATAAAGATTCATTGTGATCTGATTCCAAAAACTTATACTTCTGTGTACTATACTCCTCACAGTTTGAGTAAGATTAATATTTCATATTCATGAATTGCTTTGATATACCAAAATATGCCTTTGACTTCTAAAAGAAATTTTCTTTGACCTGTTGTGGATGCAGTAGGGCATTTGCCTTGCAAGCAGCCAGCCTGGCCAACTCAGGTTGGATTCCTCTGCCCCTCTTGAAGAGCCGGCAAGCTACCGAAAGTATCTCACCCACACCGCAAAGCCTGGCAAGCTACCCATGACGTATTCACAAACACAGTAACAAGTCTCACAATGGAGATGTTACTGGGCCCGTTCGAGCACATCGATGAACAAAGGGAGGACAGTGCTACAGTGCTGCTGTGAATATTTTATGGCACTGTATACCTGTTTTCCTGGCAATTTCATATTATTATAAATAAAATTATAATTAAAGACATACATAAATAAGTCAATTTTTATATGGAACTAACATTTAAATGACAAAATTACTAGAATTCAAGTATGGCTTAGAGATTATGAAACAAAATCCATGGGAAAGAATCATTTTCTGGGACTGGAGTGATAGTACAGTGGGCAGGGTGTTTGCCTTGCACGTGGCCAACCCAGGTTCGATTCCAGCATCCCATGTGGTCCCCCAAGCACCGCCAGGAGTAATTCCTGAGTGCAGAGCCAGGAGTAACCCCTGAGCATCACTGCTGGGTATGACCCAAAAAGCAAAAAAAAAAAAAAAATATTTTCTCAGAATACCCTTTACCAGTCAGTCCTACAGACAGTGAAGGATAATTATCCAATTTCATTTTGTTCTCAGAGAGAAAATGGAGACTCACTTTCACTCAATTCTTCAAACATACATAAAGGAAAGGCATCTAATTTAATGAAATAAATGTAAGTTGTTGAATTTCAAATACCCAAACAGAGGATATAAAAATGGAGCAGAAAATACTTTTACCCTGATTATTTAGACTGAATGCTAAGCCTTATGTTTTTTGAGTGCGTAATGTTGGCAGTGTATAGTGTCATTTGGTCCCGCCTCTATAGAAAACAATATAGAGAGTTCTCAAAAAAAGTAAGATTGGTGCTTCCCAGGCCCCACGTGCTGGGGATAAGGCAGTTGGGATGGAGAAGGAACCACTAAGTAAATGATGATTGGAGGGATTGCTTGGGATAGAAGATGTGTGCTGAAAGTAGACCAAGGACATAACATGATGGCCTCACAGTATCTGTATTGCAAATCATAATGCCCAAAATCAGAGAGAGAGAAAGAAGGATTATACCTGCCACAGAGGCAGGGAGTGTGATGGGGTGGGGGTGGCAGGAAGGACACTAGGAACAATAGTGGTAGAAAATGTGCACAGAGGATGGATGGGTGCTCGAGCATTGTATGACTGAAAGGTAATCATGCCAAGTTTGTAACTGTGTCTCACAGTGATCCAATAAAACTTATTAAAAAAAAAAGGTTGGTGCTTCCATTTGACCCAATCATTCCACTTCTAGGTATCTATCCCCAAACACAAAAAAAACATTAATTATAAGGATATATGCACACCACTCATTGCAGCTCTTAGTGAAATAGCCAGAGGATGGAAGCAATCCGATGTCCAACAGTGGATAAATGGATAAAGAAGCTGTGTATATACACAATAAAATACTACACAGCTACAGGAAAAATCAAGGCATGCAGTTCACAGGAACTTGTATAGAACCGAGGATATCATGCTGGGAGAAGTAAGCCAGATGCAAAAAGACAAAGACCAGATGAACTCACTCATCTGCGGTATACATACAGAGAAAAAAATCAAGGATATGGACAATATCAACAGACAATAACTTGCACACTGGAATACAGACCGGAGAGTGCAGGTTTGTTGGAAAGGAGTATGGGGAACAAATAGGCTAACTGGAATTAACACAGGAATTAAAGTGGATTCTACACACATGAGAGGCTCTAAGAAAAGTAACAGTATACACCAAAACCTTAACTGTCAATTAAAGAGAGTAGGAGTGGGAGGGAATGTCAACTGGAGGCCACATAAGGACAGAAACGGAGGGTTCAGGGGCACATTAGTGGCAGTGGTGTGCAAAAACTTTGTGCATCAAAACCATAAATTTGAACACTATTAAGACCCTATTACCTAAACTATAACAAAAATATATTTAATATTATAGTGCAATTTTTAAAGAAAAATGAAGTAAAATTTCAATTGTTTCGAGTTTTATATATTAAATATATAGTTCCAGTTTGAAAAACTTGCAAGTTACATAGCATAATACTTACAAGCTGATGTTCTAACAGTTGGATCTTTTCATCTTTTTTCTTTATTTCTTCTTTAAGTTGTTTTATTTCATTTAATAAATCTTCATTCTGAAATATTTTAAAAACTTAAGGCTAATTGCTTAATTTTATTAAGAAAAGTTTAATGAAAAGAATTACATACTTTTTAATTACTAGATATTAATCTATTAAAATATAATTGAATTGAATTGAAACCAGTAAACAGTAACAGCAACAGACAAACATTCACTGACTCATTATTATGTGCCCAAAATTACTTGTAGATTTAAGCACTGGATCCTGATAAACAACCTTGATGTACTATATATCCAAGGCAACAAGAAATCATACAAAATTGTCAATTCTGCTGGATTTCAAGAGCGGTGTAAGAGTTATCAGTCAGAGGATACGATAAAAGCCCTTCTTTCAAAAGACCTGCCTAAATCAGAGAAAAAATGCCCTATTCAACTTAGTTTATAAGAAAATTCTAATAGTATGAAATGAAATCTATTCAAGTTATACAGGAATCCAGTTAAATTTCCAATGTACCATTCCATTGCCCAGATACATACACTGAGAAGTGGTAGAAGAAAATTAAGAATATATAAATGAAATATCTTTCCAGAAACAAAATCATAAAATAAGTATATTATTGAAGTATGCCTTTTGATACATAGTAAATAAAATACATTATCTTTAACAGGAATTTTGAACTAGATAATGTACAAAGATGTGAGGCATATCAAGTAAGCATCACCACAATGGAGAAGAAAAGATGTTAGTGGAGACTGTTGAGAAAGCCCCAGGGGCTGGAGAACATGTTTTAGATGCTGGAGGTACAAGTTCAATCACCAGCACTCCCTGTCTCACAAGCACCACACGGCGCGATCCTCAAGCACAGTGTCAAGAGAAGCTCTGCAGAACCACATGTGGCTCCCAATTAGAAAAAGTCTTAAAGGGTTAATTATCAAACCTGATACAAACCCAAGTCAACAAAACTGTAGGTCTTACTGTTTATATTATCAAATATCTTATCTGTTAAATAAAAATGGCTTTTGAAAAATTCAGAATAGCTTCTTAGTCATTCGTCATCCTACCTTAACTATTTGATCACTCTCCTCTGGTTCCGGACTGGATGGCAATGAGAGTTGAACATCATGCAAGGAACCACTTCCATCATGCTGTCACAAAGAAAACAAGAAAAAAGGTTGACAAGAGATTGATTCTGTAGTTCACCAATATTGTAGTTCTATAAACCACAGTTCAACATGAATTTATTCTATACCAAATGTTAGCCTGGCAAAGAACAAATATGGAATTGTATTTTAGAAATTTCCTTTCCATGGTTGTGATGACAGAAGAATATGCAGAAGAGCCAAAAAAGAGAACTGGAGTAAGAACTGGAGTAATCTGTGGAAATAAGAAATATTACCTAGTCAAATAAAGCAGAGAACCACTGAAAAAAACCGAAAACGGTAAAGGGAACAGAGAAGACTTCCTAAAGAATGTTTTAAGATGATCTGATCTGTAAGAAAAATATGAAAGTCAAATTGAATTTACCTTTAGATGTAATATTTTGAGTATGGAGGAGTTAAAAACCTCAAAACAAGACCTGGTCAGATAAACCATGTCAGTAAAAATGTAACACATCTGAATTTAAGTTGCTTACTTCATTTTTGTATGATGCCTGAGAACAAAACTAATTTATAGTGCTAGAAATGAGAGGACAGTGGCTGACTCAGAAGAAATAAATACTAAGAAGGAACATTAGGGGGAATCTACTAAGATACCAGAAATTTTCTGTCTTGACTACATGTGAATATTAGCACATATAAGGAAAGTTTAAGTTGTACATTTAACATGGGTATTTTAAGCTATTTATTGGATGAAGATTATGCCTCAAACTAAAAAGCTGGGAAAAACCTGTCCTTACCCACAATAAAGAATATGATAGGATTAATACTAACACTAATCAATACTAATTAAGGTCTACCTTTTCCTAACCTGACTGTGCGAGGAATAAATAAGAAATGGTAGGTTCAGTGATTCACAGAAAGTTCAATTTTTTGATTACTTCAAGAAAGACGAAACAGTGAAGAACATGTTTGAGATCAGTGTCTTAACTGGGTGCTATAAGGCTCTCTGTGCATCCCTCAATTTATTCCAGTGGGGCCACAGGTGAAAATCATGCAAATGGGGGCCATGCCACAAAACCAGGGGGCCAGCCAGTAAGAGAGGGTGCCACAGGAAATAACCAAGGTTAGCAGGATGCCATAGTTGGGGGAAAAAAAAAAAAGAGAAAAGCTGCCTATGATACTGTGGGAAGACTGAGACAAAATAAGCATGGTTCAGTAACTTTTTGTTTAGATAGTATATAAGCTGCCCTGGATACCCAATAAACGAACAACCTTCAAGAGCATTACCAGCAATCTTTCTCAGGCACATGTGACTTTATCAAAATCTCCCAGATCATGGAAATACTGAAACTAAAACAGAGATGCTGAAATAGGATACTTTAAGCATGAAGTAATTTTTTTCTTCTTTATTATACTATTATGTAAATGAATCGAACACTGGCTGGAGCGATAGCACAGCGGATGGGCGTCTGCCTTGCGCACAGCCAGCCCAGCTGAGCCAGGTTCAATTCCTCCACCCCACTCGAAGAGCCCGGCCAGTGACCGAGAGTATCTCACCCGCACGGCGAAGCCTGACAAGCTGCCCGTGACGTATTCAATATGCCAAACACAGTAACAACAAATCTCAAAATGGAGACGATACTGGGCCACTGGAGCAAATCGATGAGTAACAGGGTATCAAGTGATCAAGTGCTACATCTCAAATTAAAAAGAAAACAACAGTAACACTCAAGCTATCTAGACTGAGAGTTCAAAGGGAGGAAAGTTCTTGTTTCTAACAAAGTATAAGAAAGTTAAAGATCATGAGTATATTGTCTCCAACTACCATTTCTCTCTCTAACACTGACATAAACCAGTAGCAGTATAAATTAAAACTTAACTAGGAGAACAGATATATGACTCAGTGGTCATACATATATGACTTCAGTGGTGAAGTGCACACATACACATACACACACAAGATGAAAAGCAAGTGTTCCAGCCAAAATTAGTAAATACTTTGAGAAAAAACTTTTTAAAAAGGAATTTAAAAGAACTTATAAGATTTTTTTAAGTCTAAAATGGGCAGAAAACACTTATTGAAAAAAATCACTTAAATAAATATGCATGCAATGTTATCAGTTCACATTACACATATGGAGGAGTTAACACAAAGAAGTGCTGAGCACTGCTCCTACTCTATTTTTGCATTATGCACAACTTATAAACAAAAATACACAAAAATTCTAACATCCTATTGCAAAAAAATATTAATAAATAACCAGTAGATTGTTCAAGTATTCAAGGATACTGTACTAAGTATACTCGTTCCACAGATTCCAGTTAGGATTTCTGAAGACTAATTTCAATTAAACTTACATTAGCTTTGTATCATTAATATTTTACTAAAGACTCAAAAAGATAGATAAAAAGTCCTATATCCTATAAATATTATAAAGGCTTGCTCTTTATTAAGCCCATGTTCTTCCTTGAACACATAACTCACTTCCTTGTCTCTATATATCTCTGCTTGTTTTTTTCCATTCTGGAGAAGCCTATGTTCTCTTTTCAAGATGTATTTCCTTTCTTCTTTTCCCCTCATCTTTCTAAGTGAGTTTCACTCAAAAAAACTATTTAGCTTCAATAAAATAAAATAAGGCATATAGGGCTAATATTCAGCAAACCATCTTCCACTTTCTCTTTCCAACATACCATAAAGGTATTTGTTCTAATATAATTCCTCCATATAATAAATTGTTGGAAAATCCTGTGACAAACTCTATCTTACCCAAGAGGGTCCTCTATGAGTTTGCAAAAACTGGGATCTCCCTATGAGTTCCAGAGCTGTTGCGATGGACATGGATATTTGAAGTGACTAACAGAAAAGCTGGCAGCACTGACCAATCTCTGCCAACAAGCATCAACAGTGATGTCAACAAAGCTCCCTTGTGTTTCAGAGATGCTACAACACAACCATGAGAAGCACCATAGGAAAGGGAGCAGGGCAGGCCGAGGAGGAGGAAGAGACTTATTTTTCTTCCTTTTCTAAGAGACTTTTTGCTAAATACAACACTAAATGTATAAGCAATCACATCACACCAACAGACCATAGAATCCACACTAAGAATAATGTTCGAGTGTTGCTGCAATTTACCAGGGAATTAAAAACCTAATGATTTTTAAATATATATTTGAGGAAATTGTTTAAGTATTAGAAAGCTTGATTTAGATATATCTCGCATTTTGTTGTTGTTTGTTTACTTTGGAGTGCTCAGGGCTTACTCCTGGCTCTGCACTCAGGGATCACACCAGGTAGGGCTTGGGGGAACCACACGGGGTGTGCGCGATGGAATCTGCGCTGGAGTGTACAAGGCAAGTGCTCTGTCTACTGTACTATCTCTTTGGTCATTGTAAAGGGACTCTGAAAAGGAAAATTTACCTTTCAAACTCATGAAAGCATTTCTATTAACTCCCCCCCACCCTGTCCTTCCCTTTGTTGCAGTTGCTGCTGCTGCTACTGCCGTGTTGGGAGCTACCCCAAACAAACAAGCAAACAAAAAAACACTGGAATTCACACTTGGAAGTGTAAGGCGGTAAACTCATGTTTTCATGCTTGCACTCAAGGGCTTTAACACTGAGCTGTATCACCGAACCCCACCAAATATTATGATACAAATGGATTCTATACAATTCAAAAAATCCAATTCATGAATTTCTTCTGTTTAGATTTTTCATTTGGAAGAAATGAAAACGTGTGTGTGTGTGTGTGTGTGTGTGTGTGTGTGTGTGTGTGTGTGGCGGGGGGTAAGGGGTGTGAGATGAGTGTATATGAGGGGACAGGAAAGGGCTTTCAGTGATCAAATCCAGGACAGCATATTCTCACTTCAAGCCACACCCCCAGACTACACATTATATATTTTTAACTTAAAAGTACAATTTGTAAAGCAATGACCAATTAATGACCAATTAATTTCTTGTTATCTACCCACTCGCAAAAAACATGAATATGAAAACACACATAACAAGGTTGACTGCAGTGCTAAGTTCAATGTCAGGACAAGGAAGCAACCCAGCTATCCAAAGACAGACGATGCAAACTAATTTTACCACAATAAATCATTTAAAAACTTATTTTAAAAAAACACCCTAAGGTAATACAATATGAGACCTATTAAAACAATGAAAAAACCCTGGTTTTAAAATGCTTTCCGGTGCCAGAGAGACAGCACAGCAAGTTTAAGGAGCTTGCTAATACACACAGGTGACCCTAGTTCAATCCCTGCTGCATGGTCAGGAGTGATGCCTCAGCAGAAAGCTAGGAGTAAACCCTGAGGCCTGATGTGGTCCCCAAAGCAGCAAGGAATGAATGAATAAATACATATATGCCTACTTCTTTCCTATAAATAAATGTTCTAAAAAGCTGTATTAGAAGTTATCTCACATAATACCAAATTAGCACTTCTTCTGTTCTGTTTTTCTCTTTGTAAGTTTTAAGTATCTACACAATTCCCCTCAGTCATTGAAAGAAACACGGCTCTTAAACCTGTACCTTTGCTCAGAGTAATTCCAACTTATCTCACTAAGGTTGTTCACCTTATAAATTCAATTTCCAGGAAATTATTAGTATTCCAATTTCTCTGTGATTCCCCAGAGAAACTTTTCTCTTTCACATACTAGAAATAAAATACCTTATTTGGCTACATTTTTTTTCTCTCCCTGAATCCGTCTTTTACAGGTCAAGACAGCAGCTTTATGCTTCGTCTTTCACAGTTCTATCCACACGACAATTTTGCTCCACGAACTTGTTTCCAATCTATGATAGGATTTTGGGAAGGGTGTGTTGTGGGGAGGGGGAGGGTTGAGTAGAGAGGCTCCCAAGTGGTGCCAGGAGGAACAGGGCCCCTCCCAATGGTTTCCAGTCATTCAAACTTGCCAGGGGGTCCAATATTAGAGCATGACGATACAGTGTTACTTGTTTCTTTATCCTTTTATTGATTAAGGTGCTATGATTTACGATATTGTTGATGATGGTTTTTCATGTACATAATTCCAACATATGCCCATTACCAGTGAACCCACCTTCCTCTCCTCAGGTCCCCACTGCCCCATGCTATGGTGCCAAGGATTACTCAGGCCACCCCAGTGGTGCAGGGGGCTTCCTGGTCTACACCCCAGGGGTGCTTGGGAACCTCCAGGCTGCACCTGGCAATGCTCAAGGTATCATCATGCAGAAAACAGAACCAGGGTTAGCCACATGTAAGCATGCATCTTTAATTAACCCTGTACTATCACTTTGGTCTTTATGACTGAACTTACAGCTGGCCTCATAAGAATTTCCACTCAGTAAGTAGAAGAGTGGAATGTATTGGTTTTAATGCTGCTAAAGTCATTTAAACTTTCAATAGACTAGTAATAGCATTCTCCTGCACAAATTACTTGGAATAACACCATCTCATTGTCAATTTACCTGTCAGAAATATAAAGGGAATATAGGCAATTATTTGCAGAGAAAGAAGGCCATGTAACAGGAATAGGGACCCTGGGCATGTTGAGATATACTTTCTTATTGTACATGGATCTTTCTACAATCATTAAAAACATGTATAATGCCAAGTAGGCCTTCTTAAATTTTGAAGAGAACATTTCCCTCCTTAGAATTATTCCAGCCCATTTACCAAGCGACCTAAATAAGCCTCCAATTTTGAGTAGGGCCCAGACGACTCTGCAACAGATCTAGGCTATTGTGTAAGCTGTTCTGTTACTTGGGCCATATGAGCCAGCAGAAGGCATGGTGCTTGAAAGTGTCCGTGATAAGACAGAGATACTGCTTAGAGACCTCAGTAGGCATCTCTAATTAAATCTCGATGGGGATGTGAATGATTCTGAAGTCCATCCCTGTTACACCCGTGGGTAACTTTTGTGAAAGAGCTCTGGCCACTGCTGGATCTTAGTAGTGTATGAATACTTATAACCTTGGGTCACCAAGTTATGATGCCGCATGAAGATACCCAGCATGAACTAGGGATTTTATTGCTTATGAAGCCATACAGTTGGGTGTGAAAATGTTGTGTATGTGTGAATATGTAAGACATCACATGCATAACTTACTCGTTCCCTCTACTACCACACACAGGGTGAATTCCCTATTGCGCAGATAGAGGAAGAGAAAACTGAGGTCTGCTTTAGGTGTACAGATGTACCACTACAATGTCTTCTGTGAAAACCTGGAAGAAGAGCAGTTTCAGGCAAATCCTTTCAGTGAGAAAAACTCTAAGAAATGCCTATTATTCACTTCGCCAAGAAGGAAAAATGGCCAGAAGCGCAAAAATCATGATTCATGGGCTCTAGCCAATATTCTGACTAACTGATTAGGGACTTTGTAAGAAATGTGACTAAAATTAGTCAAAGAAATATGAGGAAAAGATATATAGCTAGATGTCTCTAGGGGTGTCTGCGTGTATGTGTCTGTTTTTTTGTGTTTGTGGTATCAGGGATTTAATCCAGGACCTCAATTATACAAGGTAGGATGTCTACCACTGAGCCACAATCCCAGCCCAAATAATTCATTTTTTTTTTTGGTTCTGACAATATTGAACTTAAGAGTTTTATATTCTTATGCTCTATGTTTTCATTAAGCATTTTCTTTTGCTTCCAGATATATAAAAATTCTGACAAGGTAAATAAGTTATTGAATTAAACTTTCTTAAGAATAATAAAGGTAAAGAGGAACTGAGTGCAAAGCCAGGAATAACTACTGAGCATTGCCAGGTGTAGTCCAACCCAGGCCACCCAGGTGAGGGGTGGCCCTCACCTCCCCCCTCAAAATTACTCGGGAAGCTACTGGAGGTGATAATATCAAAGTTAAAAAAAAAAAAAGGAATATGTAAAGGTAAAGGTAAAGGCCCTCCTGTTGATCGTCGATTTGCTCGAGTGGGCCCAGTAACGTCTCCATCGGAGACTTTGTTGTTACTGTGTCTGGCATATCGAATACTCTCGTAGCTTGCCGGGCTCTCCGAGAGGGGCGGAGGAATCGAACTCGGGTTGGCCATGTTGGCCGCTTGTAAGGCGAACGCCCTACCCGCTGTGCTATCGCTCCAGCCCTAGACTTTACATATGTACTTTCTTTCCTTGTGCATGATTGTACAGGCAAATCTTGGAGGGTATTATGTTTTATATTTCAATGAAAGTGACTCCTCCCTATAATATCAATCTCTGATTAGTAGGCCCAAACAAATATTGTCAGTGCTTTTAAAATTCTTGCAAAGAGCACAAAACTCCACCTCTCTAATGGCAAAATAACACATGCCTGGCATGCACAAGGCCTGACTTTGATCACCAGCACCTCATGGTCCCTGTGTACCTCAGGGAGTAGCCCTGGAGGTCCACAAGCAGTGCTGGGGCGGCTCTAAAGCACCTCTGATATATATCAGGTCTGCATGGCCTGGCTAAATATTGCTAGGAAAGTCCCTGGTTCCCTGAGCACTACTTGAGAGGTCTAGTGAGAGGGATGTAGCCACAATGTATCAGCCTCAAGGAGACAACCCATAAAATAAGTTAAGAGAAGGTACTGTTCTTTGTCAAACCATCGCTTAGAACTTAATTTGGTCAGACTACAAAAGACAAGCATAGTCTTAAAACTAAAGAAAATCTATCCTTAATTAAAAATTGGTATTTTATTTCTTAGCTTTATATTATACATCTACCTTACCTCAAAGTGCTAAATGTTCAAAACAAAATACCACTGTTTCAGGTACTAGATTGTATCATCAGTCAACCACGTATCTTTAGACAAGTCACATCAGAGCTATGAGTTAGATTTTCTAAAACATGTAAATAAAATAAAATTGTGGAAAAAAATTTGAAGATTTCAAACTGAATTGAAATTATATGACAATGTATACATAAAAACCTGTTTCCCACTTTCTGAAATTATAGTAGAAGGCAATTATGACCAAATACCTACAATTTCTGGTACAGATCATAAAATTTACAACTATTTCTAATGCTCTCACAACAACTTTACAATGTAGGTATTAGATAAATAAGAAAACAAAAGCAGATAAAGTCATTTACCAAATATAAAAGAGCCCTGTAAGGGGACTGTGCTGAAACCATCATACCAAATCCCATTTTCACTTCCACAAAAGTTTCTATTACATACTATTTACAGGCATCACTTCTACAGAACTCTAAAGAGACTTTAAAAGAAGTCCAATTAACTTTCTTTTAAAGGGTACAATCAATCCATTTTGCAAATTAAATACAATAAACAATTAAAAATGTTCCTTACCGGGGCTGGAGAGAGAGTACGCGGCTGACCTGGGTTTGATTCCCAGCATCCCATATGGTCCCCTGAGCACTGCCAGGAGTAACTCCTGAGTGCAGAGCCAGGAGTAACCACTGTGCATCACCAGGTGTGACCCAAAAAGCAAAAAAAAAAAAAAGTTCCTTATGTACTCACCTGATGCAACAGACGCTTCAGTTTGAGTAATTGAGTTTTTACAGAAGTGCAATCCTGAACCATGTGCCGAAGGGTCATCTCATCCAGAACCACCGTATTTTCAGGTACGTCTATAAACATCTTCTGAGTCTGGAAAAATGGACTCCCTCCATAGCTTTCAAAATGACCCAAAGGAGAATCTCGATAAGGAGAGCCTCTGGAATGGAGGGGAGAGGTAGGAGAAGTTGGAAAAAAGTATACAATTTAATTTTCAGGAAGCAATAAAGGTAATTAAATTGTTACAAATAATCATGAAATACTATAATACTTGTAAAAATCATACAGAATTTTCTTATATACACTAATTTTCTACTCTTCAGCATTCCACTTTAAACTTCACAGATTTTTTTTCAGTCCCATAACTATGCTACTCACAGTAATTCTCATTATGGACACACCCTGAACTCCTCTTTCTTGTAAGGTCCATAGACAATTAAGATTTCTTTTCTTTTTGTACTACTCACAATGCATATCACATCACATAGTTCCTGATATTAAATTACACTTAAAAGTCAATTTTAAAATAGAGCCTAAAATGTTAAACTTCTCTATAGTTTCATGTAATAATAAACATGATGAATAAGAATAGGGGCAGAAACTAGGAAAAATTTGTTTTATAGACATGAAAAATAATGTTTAACTAAAATCTATAGTAACGGTAATTTTTAAACACTGAACTTTAGAGTGTTGAACACAAAATTCCAGCTGGTTCTAAAAAGAAGAGCTTATAACATAGTTGAAATGTCAATATAAAAAATCACCAAAAAAGGACTTCTCAAATAGTAACTGTTAATACAACAGTATTAAAGGCAAATTTAATTTATTTATTTATTTTTTCTTGTTTGTATTTTTTTAATTATTTTTTTATAAGGTAGCTCACAGTATTTGATTACATTTAATATTCAAACACCAATCCCACCACCATTACACCTTCCCACCACCATATTTCGGATGTTTCATCCCGAACCCCAATCCCTGTCCCAAAGCAAAATTAAAGGTAAATTTTAATACATTAAATTCCAACCATGTTAAACAATTAGAAGTAGCTTGTAACAAATATAATCTCTAAATTCTCAAGTACTCAAATATGAATTTGGTTACCAAAAGACTATTTTTCTGTCAGCTACTTTCTCTGAAACATACTTGATTTCAGGCCTGATTTTTCTTTAAACAATTTTTCTTCTAGCAATATTATTAAGAAATTTAAAATTGTCAAATTTAAAGACTTCAATTCATTCACACATAATTGTTTTCTTTCTAATGGCAAAACATAATCAAATTATTAAACTTTAAATACTTCTCAATGAATTGATTGGTTAGATGGACAATCTTAATTTTAGAGAAATTAAAAATGTTCAATAACAGAAGGTTGACAACATATTAACACAAAACACAGTATCTCTTGGCAGATTAATAGAGATAAGATGCTCTAAAGTTAACATACTTAAGGAAATTTTCCTGAGATGCTTTTCCTAGGATGAGTTGTAAAATATAAGGTTTAAGTTTGACTGAAATGAAAGGCTATCATATTCTAAAAAAAAAAAAAAAATGAAGAGTAACGGCACAAAGTTGCAGATATGTTTTTCAGGAAAAAGAGACTTAAATATAGCTTATACAGTCCCAACTAGCCCAAACTGAACTGATCTATCAATATACCTACCTTTTAAGACTGACTTAATTCCTTAGCTTCTCAAGGTAGGACTTGGTACACTGCCAAAAGTGTCCTTATAGAGCTCTCTACTGTGCCTCAATCATAATGCTTGTCATGTACATAAGTTTGCATGCAATCTATAAGCTAAAACTTCCACAAAGAAAGGGACTTTGTGTTATTTTTTCCTCAGTTGCTTTTTGTTTGCTCATTTGTATTCACTAAATGGGCAAAAAGTGAAAATTTTAACTACCAAGAATGAATAAACATAACTATTTTAGAATTATAATCTAGAAGTTATTATGTTAGAAAGTTCCAATTAATGAGCAAGTTAAAATTTAGTTTTTAATGTATGCTGGTGAAGAAATAGGTGTTGGAACATTGTATGACTGAAACCCAAACTTGAACATCTTTGTAACTGTTCATCTCACTGTGATTCATTAAGTAAATTAATAAAATTTGCTTTTTATTTTATCAGGTGAGTAAAAGTCTAGAAAGCGAGGATGAAAGAAAATTGGGCAGCAGTTTCCCAGCAGAATGAAAATCAGGTAAGGAATAAGGATCTATACGACATAAATATGAACCAGATACAAAACTAATGAATTTAAAATATTTCAAAGAAAGGTGATTACTGAGTGCAGAAATAAAGAACTGGCCTCTAGAACAATCAAAGTCATGTAAACAAACCAGCCCTGCATTTGGATTTGGGCTAAAATTCTGGCTAAAAAAGTTAGTTATTGAAATAATCTTTGGTTCATAGTTTCCAACATTCTCTAGTGTCTATTAAATAAAATTCCTATGCCATGTGTTGTATTTCAAGACCTTCCACCATAATATCCAACTTATAGCCTCTCCTAGTATAACAACTGCTTCATCCTCCAGAAGCTCTTTCTAACCTTCTCCATACGCTGAAGAAATCTAATTACATATCACTTTAAATAAGATGCAAGGCCTTTGAAAATAGAACTATACCTTACTCATTTTTATATTATTGCACAGATTACTTGAATTCAAATCTCACCTCTGTCAGTTATATAATACCCAGGGCAAGTCACTTTGTGCTTCATTCTTCTGATGTATGAAATGGGAGTAATAACATAACACTTTGATAATCAATATCTGTCATTATGCATTTGTAATGCCCCCAGAGACTGACCGTGCATACTAAGAGGAAATCCTTATGTAAATTACAGGTTTCTGTAAAATGTCTCAATATTGGCTCATCAACTGTAACAAATATATCACTCAAATGCAATATATTAATAAAAGAAGAAATCACATGTATAAGAGAGGTTGAGGAAATATATTAGATTTCTCTACACTTCTGCCGGTATTTCTGTAATATATTACAGAAATATATTACTAGAACTGATCTTACAAAATAAGTTTAGGGACCAAAGCAATATTATAGCAGGTAGGGGGGCTTGCTTGCAGGTAGCTGACCCGGGTTCCACCAGGAATACCCTGAAGTCTACTGAGTGTGTCCCCAAAATAAACAAAGAAATTAAGTCTAGGGGCTTGGAGACAAAATGTGGGTGAAGAACATTCCCCAGCGTGTGTAAACAGAGAGCCTTGGGTATCATCCCTGGTACTGCATGCGTCACCATCAGGGTGTGGTGTTGCTCTGCTGTCTCCTGAACATTGGGTGAAGTGCCTCAGGCTCCCCAGAGCTGCTGGGTGGGATGATGACCAAAAAGAAATGTACTCTTAGGGTCAGGAATGTTGCTCAAGTAGCAGAGCAACATGCTCAGGATGTGCATGACCCTGAATTTGACCTCAGCTCCGCAAGACCCCCTGAGCACTTCTGAGTATGGTTCTAGTGGTCTCAAGCATCATGAGGTCCAAGCACTAACCTGCCAGGACAAGCATGCTGGGAAGTAGCTCTGGGCTGCAGTGCAGTCCCTGTATCAAACAATAAAGTCCAGGACCATGGAGCAGATTCAAGTCTCAGGGCTATATTTACAAGGCCCTGGGTTTTACCCTGGTCACCATAAGGCCTCTAGCATACCAAAGAACAGGGTGTCACCCTAGTGGCCCCAGTCCCTAGCACCTCAGGAGACAATGAGAGAGATGGAGAGTCTATTACTATTTTTTTAAAAAATAGGCAAGAAAGAAGGAAGAAAAGGAAATAGAGTATAATAGAATAACAAAAAGAATACCAGAATTCACTCTTCCATAAAAGGACTAAAAAGTACTGGCAAATTCACCAACATGAAGTTTTTCAGAAGTCTTTATACAAAATGTAGCCAGGTAAATCTTGATAAGAATAGCAAGCTCTCAAGTAGCTTATACAACAAAAGCCCTTAAAAGCATGATAGCTGTTTAATTCAGCAAAAACTATAAGATGTAAAGGGAGATGCTTCCACTAGCACATTTCCAGAGAACTGTTGTATCTGACCTATCTGGGTCCCTCCCTAGAAAAGGTCCATGCTCACAGGTCATTTATTTGACCTGATTCTGAGTTCACTCCTTCAGTACAATAGTTTGGGGGAAGGGAAGAGGGGTGGACCAAATATAAAAATGTAGAAATTGTTTTAAATCTCAGCTGAGGGCCAGAGTAATAATACAACAAGGAGGACCAATCCAGATTTGATCCCCAGCACCCCATATAGTTCCTGAGTGATCCCTAAGTGCAGAGCCAGGAATAAGCCCTAAGTACTATTGGGTATTGCAAAAAAAAAAAAAAACTATAGTATAAGGAAATAAATTAGGTCTTAGCTGCTGACTTAAAAAAAAAGACTTACCCTTATTCTCATTTCTTGTTTCATTTGTCAAGTATTTATGTAAACTCCATGAGGAGAAACTGTAAGTTTGTTGAGAAGGGTAAAAGGTAAGGTAAAGGCCCTCCCGTTGATCGTCGATTTGCTCGAGCGGGCCCAGTAACGTCTCCATTGGAGACCATGCCAATCATGTACTCAAACTTAACCAAACTATCATTTATCTAAAAATAGGCTCTAAAAACAGGAGAGCTTTTGGTCTTGCAGAAATTTGAATTACTTTAGTAATAGGAAGGGGCATTAATTTTTTTACATCCTCATTTTCTGGGTAATATTAAAAAATACTGAACCTGAAATGCTGACACTTAATATTTATTGTGACTTTCTCATTGACATCAGCAGCAATAAAAAATTCTTGCTAAACTGAAAACAATTCCATTTATTACTCTTGTACATTGATATTCAAAATAACCAGCTTTTTAAAAATGTATCCATGTCATTTCTCAGTAATTCTCAGTATTCTCATTTCTTGTTTCATCTGTCAAGTATTTATGTAAACTCCATGGGAAGAAACTGTAAATTTGTTGAGAAGGCTATAGATGCCACTCATGTACTCAAACTTAACCAAACCCTTCTTTTTAAAAAAGGCTCTAAAAACATGAGAGCTTTTGGTCTTGCAGAAACTGCTTTAACTTTTCTCAGCTCAACAAGGCAAGAAAGAACCTTTCCTCTGAAAGCCACCTCATTTCTGCATGAAAAAAAAAAAGTTGGTGTTGCCTAGTGCTATGAATA